GAACGCTGCTCCTTGCCTTCTCCCCATTGCCTAAGTTTGTCCACTTGGCTCTTCCTCTGAGAGCAAGCGGCAAACCATGTGACTTATTCAGTGTCTGCATGACCTGGCTGCTGCCTGTCACCATCAACCATGCACATCAACCCAGCCCAGTTGAGGTAGAATCTAATAACGAACTCTTGATGAGCTGTCTTGTCTCCGTGCCACAGGCCCTGACAGCGGACTGGAGCTGGCACCCTTGCCAGAGCGGCACCCACCCACCAGAGGGACCACCTCAGGGTTCTGTGCATATGTGCGAGGGTCCAGCCACTTTTCTGTGGGTACAGCCCATCCGAATGAATGAGTGTTTTGCTAAAGAGTGCCCAGGGCTGCTGACAAGAGAAGGAAGAGAGGAGCCAGAAGGCCTTTGCTACTCGCGGGCAAAATAGCCCAGTTGTGAAGACCTCGACTTCTTTGCAGAAAGCAGCTGAGATGTTGGCTATCCATGGCTTCACTTGGGAAGAGAGCAAGTTGAAGGACAATGACATGGAGACGTTGAGAGTTAGGAGATAGGAAGCCTACAGGAAGCGAGGAAAAGAGGCCCAGCAAGAAACACAGGGCGCAACAGGATGTCTGCAGGGGTGATTTCGACCGCCTAGGAGAATTTTAAAGCTTGGGTCAGCCGGCCCCAAACCCCCTAGGCTAATTTTGAACTCCAACGTCAGCAAGCCCATGACCCTGTTTTCTTGACCCATCGCCTGCTTACTTCCTGATCCAAGTCTACGCCAGACCTCAGCGTGCACAGAGCATGAGCAGGTTTGTGATTGGACCTGCGGAACATGACCATACCCAAGACTGGTCCACTCATAACCTGGAGACCCAGATGGGCCAAGGACCCCACCATCCACATAAAAGCCTTCAGGTAGAGCCCTTCAGCTGCACCTCATCTGAGTCCCCACCTGCTGCACTGCGTGCTTTTCTTTGCATTCCCCTGGTCATTGTGTTCTGAGAGTCCATTCCTCGGTTATTGAGGTCAAAGTCCCCTGGATACATCAGAGGAGGTGCAGCACCAGTTCAGTGGAGCACATCAGCCAGCGGTCACAGGGCCAGGCTGCTAGCGGCAGCGGCAGCACAATGTGACATTTTTCTGTTCAGGGCTCAGGTAAACACACGATCTGTTCTTTTCTTAGGGCCGTGGTGGAGGAACATTCGCGTGTGTGGTGTCCTGTCCTTGGAGCAAAGTGAGGGTAGGAACTGACCTGAGTGATCTACTAGCCCCTGGCTCCCAGCTCCTCCCTCCCATCTGTCTCCTATCTCCTTACTCCTATGATGTATTATGTCCAACCTCCACCTGGACGTATTGGCTTACTCTGCTTATAACTTAATTATGTGCCCAAGTCTTAATTCTCAAGCTTCAGCCTCTCCACAGGGGTGGCCGTGGCCAGCACAGTCAGACTCTTTGCCTTCTTGTGGATAAGTCAGCAAGGCCTCTGTAGCACAGTGGTCATCCTTAGCCTTGATTGTCCAGTAGTTCTCTGGCTGAGTTGGCAGGTATACGCAAGGAGGCCCTCACATGTTAAAATGCCCCAACCTTTACCCGAGACTCATCCTTTCTCTGACACCAACTTGGTTCTCACAGGCCAAATGTGAGCGTACCGAGGCAAGAGGCAGCCGTGTGGTTGCAAGCGTGCCTTTTTATGGCTGGGGCTCTGCCAGAACTGGCCTGGTCATTCCCACCTCCGGCTGACCAGACTGGATGTGCTCGTCCAGGGTCAGGTGGTGGCCAAGGTACTATGTGGGACTTGTCAAGGTGGCTCTTTCCTGCTGGCTAGCAAGACCCAAGGTGAGAGGCCCTGGGGGTTCTTCATGAGATTCTGGGTCCCTCTGGGCCAGCTCAGGCCCAGGTTATAGTCTAGGCACATCTGCTCCTATGAGCCGTGGTGCGGACTACCTGGGGAGGATGGGCTACCAGGGGATTCTCCCTGCTGCAGAGGGGCAGGGCTCCTGGCTACAGGTCGACCACATAGTCCCCTGAATATATCCTGCCTCTGGTGATTCTCTGCCCAGTGCTGGCTATCCTGGTGGCCATGCTGGCCTGCCACTTGGGCCACACAGCCCATCATGCAGGGGTCTGGCTCTAGTGTATTTCCCCCAAGACCCAGCCTCCAGGGGTCTGGCAGACACCCGAGGTCCATGGGAGGCCTGGGCTCCTTCTGGGAGCCTATCCAGGCCGAGGGACGTGAGGCCTTGCTCTTGCTGGAAGAGTCTGCTGTCACGGTGACGGCAGACCTCAGGGAGGAGAATAAGCCTTCTTCCTCAGACACCTGCAAGAGCTCCCGGGAGGGGTCTCTGAAGGGGCTGCAGGTTCTCCATTTAGGCATCCCTGAGACCTTGCTTTCTCTGGCAGGAAGACCTTGGGTTCCTGAACGTGTCCACAGCCCCTGCCCAGTGCGTGCTGAGCAGACGGTGGCCCTTTCTGCATCTGAGGTCCAGTTTCCTCTGCCCTCCAGGCTTTCTGGCCAGGGGCTTGCCTCCACAGAGCCGACTGCTCGCTTTTCCACGGGTCCACC